GGCAGAGATCGACAGCTTCTTCGAGACGAACAACGTTCAGCACCTGGCGCTCATCTTCGAGGACTCCAAGTCCTACGTCGGCCGAGAGGTGAGACATTTAGGAAATATAAAAACTGCATAAATAAGATATACTTTTAAAGCATAAAACTCTTCCAGACTGTGTCCTGAGTTATTTAAATTAAGAGTGAATCAGTTTGAACTAAGAGAAATGTGCATGCTCACAAGAATACATTAAAAAGATGTCGAAATGTCCATTTTGTGGTTTAGTTTAAAAAGGAAGTGTGTGATAAACTTAATAGAATAAAAACATATAAAGCTGAGGTATGAATGTCTGTATTGTTTGGGAATACTGGGAATATAATGTATTATATTTTTTTTACACTCTCAGTTATACTTTAAATAAGAGTTGTAACAAAAAGTTCATGTAAAAAGTATAATAAGGCTCCAGTTTACACCAAACATTATCTTCGTATCATGTTTAGTTTTTGGTGTGGACCTCCAGGTAGTTTGTTTTTCTTCACAATTTCTGGTAAATAAAAGCATCCTCTTTCTTTGGGATATTTGACCCAAAGTTTTGAAACAAAAGTCTAACTCTTATTGTGAATGTGTGTGTTCTCAGGTGACCCTTGACCTGCTGCAGTTTGAGAACGTGGCGGTGCGCAGAGTCCTGAGTTCTGAGGAGACTCTGGTGAAAAAACTGGAAGTGACAGAGTTCCCTCCTGCTACCTTTACTCTGCTGGAGGGAACTTCTCCAGACTCAGAGTGTGAGTATCTCTGCACACTTTAAAAGAGTCCTCTCCTGCTGATGTTCAGGTGTATATCAGTATGTAGTGTCTCTACTTTAAAGAGTCCTCTCCTGCTGATGTTCAGGTGTATATCAGTATGTAGTGTCTCTACTTTAAAGAGTCCTCTCCTGCTGATGTTCAGGTTCATATCAGTATGTAGTGTCTCTACTTTAAAGAGGTCCTCTCCTGCTGATGTTCAGGTGTATATCAGTATGTAGTGTCTCTACTTTAAAGAGTCCTCTCCTGCTGATGTTCAGGTGTATATCAGTATGTAGTGTCTCTACTTTAAAGAGTCCTCTCCTGCTGATGTTCAGGTGATATCAGTATGTAGTGTCTCTACTTTAAAGAGTCCTCTCCTGCTGATGTTCAGGTGTATATCAGTATGTAGTGTATCTACTTTAAAGAGTCCTCTCCTGATGATGTTCAGGTGTATATCAGTATGTAGTGTCTCTACTTTAAAGAGTCCTCTCCTGCTGATGTTCAGGTGTATATCAGTATGTAGTGTCTCTACTTTAAAGAGTCCTCTCCTGCTGATGTTCAGGTGTATATCAGTATGTAGTGTCTCTACTTTAAAGAGTCCTCTCCTGCTGATGTTTCAGGTTCATATCAGTATGTAGTGTCTCTACTTTAAAGAGTCCTCTCCTGCTGATGTTCAGGTGTATATCAGTATGTAGTGTCTCTACTTTAAAGAGTCCTCTCCTGCTGATGTTCAGGTGTATATCAGTATGTAGTGTATCTACTTTAAAGAGTCCTCTCCTGCTGATGTTCAGGTGTATATCAGTATGTAGTGTCTCTACTTTAAAGAGTCCTCTCCTGCTGATGTTCAGGTGTATATCAGTATGTAGTGTCTCTACTTTAAAGAGTCCTCTCCTGCTGATGTTCAGGTGTATATCAGTATGTAGTGTCTCTACTTTAAAGAGTCCTCACTACATGAGTAAAATGATGGTTGATCTGGATGGGTCATCAGGGTGTGAAAGGTTACACCCTCATTATTGTGTTTGCTTAATGAGATTTGGTGAACTTTTTTAATTTCAGCGTAGCTCTGCCAAAACTTCCACCTGAGCTGAGGTCTAATTACCCAGAAAACACCTGTGAGAGTGAGCAGGACACAACATGAAATTAAACAGGGTTTCCCCGTGAAAGATACAGGGATATGAAGCTGTGCAGACTCACTTTTTTATTTGGTGTACATTACGTTCGAACATTAAAACGTTCAGCCCTCTAGACTTCATACTTACTCAGAAACCTCATTCAAACTTTAAAATGTTCCACATCTTTCTGACATTATTCCTTTTACACAACTTATAAATCAGATCAGATGTAGACCCTTTTGAATATTACACTTAGTTTGGAGCGTGGTAAAGAGGCCTTGTTCTGATTATAACATTATTCCCATTATCCAAATGTTCACTTTCTTCTTACACGTCATAGCCAGCATTTCATATCAACGTCAGCGTTTCAGCACACAACATTCACACCGCAATTTCTCCAGGAATTACATGCTCTAGTTGTTTCACCACTAACTTTGAACCTCCCTTAACAAGACAAACCCACAATGTAAACACACACACATGGATGAGGTCAGTGTGGTTGAGCTGTGTTACAGAAACCATGACCGCCTGAAACCAGCCATTAGCCTCCCACTGACAAACAGAGCACAATGACAGACTGCCCATTGTTATCTGTGGGGAGCGGACTGTACACACACTGGAAAACTACATTGTTCCTGCTGTCAATTAGTTTTTATCCATCAGTTAGCATGACATTTGTAATGCAACTAGGGCTGGGAGATTTGGAGAATATATCAATATTTACTAAGAGGGGAAAGGCAATAATACGTCAATAAATGCCCCACTGGTGAATTTAAAAACAGAGGTTGCTAACAAGTGTCTAAAACGAGACGACTAAAGGTCCGGACACACCAAACTGACACCAAAGACGGACCCGACTGTTGTGTCGCCTCACGTCTCCTGCATCTTGGCCAAACAGTCGCACTGGAACACACCGCAAAGACTTCACCCGACGGCAAGGTAGCACGTACGCACTGCGCATGCGTGAGTGGCAATAACTCTCCTTACCAGCAGGCGGCGGTAGTGTGTATTCGTCATTCAAAAGAGGCAACCAGAAGACAGACTGCGTGATATTACACATGATGTTTGTCAATCTTAAAAAATCATTTCCATGTCAAAAAAGTCAGTTTGTCGTAAAACTGTTGAAATCTAAGACTATGAAAAATATGCAACTAGAAAGACTACAAATCCCAGAATCCCGGTCCCGCATGCTGGCTCTTAGGAACCGACTAACTCCCCTTGTGTGTATGTACAGCTCTCAACATGCCCAGACTTGGAGTGATTTTCACCTCTTTTAATACTTTCCACCTCATTCTGAAAGAAAGAAGTGAAATGTGCCAACGTGACGGCCGTCTTGGTGTGTGGTGCGAGACGGGAGATGTAGTTCATTGAGCGGTTTCACACAAAAAAAAGTGTTACTTCACAGTTTTACCACACGTTTTTATTTTTTTGACTTGCAAAATTATCTTTGAAATTGACAAACATCAAATGGATACATTTTTGCTCGGCTTTTCCCTGTTCATTTTCACATGTTGAAGGAACTCATCACTCCAATCATCCAGAGGGAAAACACCAGTTAAATACTTGAAGAAGCTATTGTCCACCTCATGCAGGAAGTGTGGCAGCCGATCATGTGGCACCTGCCGCAGTCTGCTTTCAAAGCTTTTTGAGTAGGCCGCGATGTCGTCATTTTGTTCACCCTTACAAGTTAAATGTTCCAGGGTCCTGCCCATCGTACGCATCAACGTTTCTGACGCCTCACTGGAGGACTCATCCTTCCTGCTGCGCTTCACCCGAGGCCTTAGAGTGCTTAAGTGACGGAGTGTGCTTGGCCCCTCTCCGAGCGGTGCCAGTGTGGACTCTGTTCCACAGATGGTGGATTCTGTCAGGGGAGTACAGGGCCTTGACTCGGCATCAAAGAGGAAGGGCTCCTCAGGGGTGCTGGTTTCACTGCTGGTGCCATCGGGGGGTGATTCTGCAGCCACCGGAGGTTCCTTAAACATTTTAAATAAATTCACAATTAGTTTGATTTAATACCATGGATTCTTAAAACGGTTTACTTAGCATTCATAACAAAACAATACCCTGAAATGTGTGTGCCATTAGTTCGGGGTGTGGTCTAGTGTGAAAGGCACATTGTAGACAAACTGTGATGGCTCTATTCAGATGCTAAGACGTACTTCTAGACAGATTGTGGAAGATAATGGGAGAAGGAGCCACCATCACGTATGAAAGGCTACATGTGAAAAGAGGGGCAGAAACCGTCTTGCAAATTTACATTTCAATCTTGAACAATGGTAGACAGTAACAAAGGACATTTACTTAAGTACTGTACTGCTCCACTCCCATTCAGTGTACTTTATACTGCGCTACATTTATTTGATAACTTTAGTAACTTTGAAGATTCAAAACAATACAAAATATAATCAAGAAATATTTTATCATGTATTATTCTAGGTTAAGATAAAAACGTTATTGATCCCATGGTGAATTTCATAAGCTACCCAGCAGTCTATAATGTCATTTAAATCAGCTACTCCTTTACCAGCTGCAACATTAAGGTGGTGAGCACATTCATCCATCAATCATTAGAATACAATAATATATATATCATTGTTATATTTACCACTGTAAATGAAAGAAGCAAGAAACACTTATTTGTACTCAACAAATCAAATAGTTACCGTGATGGTGAGGTTTGAAGTAGTCTCTCTCCTCCTTGTGTAGGGCTCTAGAAACTGCAGCCAGGTCTGGATGCACTGCTGTCTGCCCGTCTTTAGTGCTCCACAACTTCTCGAAGGTGCAAGTCTCCTGTTCCGGGTGTACTGGGTTCGCAGAGAATCCCACTTCATCTTGAGCTCTTTCTCTGAAGCACACAAATAAACTATGTAAGCATTGTGGCTAGTTAGCATGTCCAATTCATATCTATATGCAGTGCCAAACAAGTAGCAACAGCTAGCAAAGAATAACAACAAAACACAAGGTTGAAATAACACTGTATCACTGCAGCTGGTAAACAATAGCAAACCAGCAGTTTCTGCTAAAGAGCTCAATTGATGAACAAACAAGAGAATCTTACCTGGTAAACCAAGTTGAGTTTCAATCTCTCGCCAGAGTCCGCTTTTCACTGTTCGGTTCGTGTACCGTTTCTCTGTAGTGTCGAACAGAGCTGGCCTCTCCTGGATCAGGCTGATGAGTTGCCCTTCGGTTTCTTCATTCCAGATCGCCATGATGTAAAATAAATTCCTTCGTTTGTTTGCTTGCCTCACTTCCGTTTCGCTTCTCATGCACTAAACTGAACAGCCAATCAGAGTGATTTCTTTTGCCGACAACCTCCGCTCCCGATTTGCCATGTTCAGTCGGGACTCGAGCAGGACTCGAGCCGAAGGTGTCGGCACTAGTGATGGGAATTCCGGCTCACCAAGAAGAGCCGGCTCTTTCGGCTCCCAAAAACGGCTCTTCAGTTGACCACATATACCTTTTATAATTCAATCAAATGTAGCCCTGTTTTGACTAATGATTTATATGTGTACACATATATCACTTAAATTATTCAATACATCCTTTGTACTGAAGTATTCAAAAGTAAAAATTACATGTTTAATATCAATTATTTGTGGCCAATTGTTTTCATTGCATTTACAGACCCTTGTATCTCTCTGATACCACCCCACTGACTTGCTTGTAGAACCACGCTACACAAAGCAGATAGCAACACCTATAAAAACTTAAGCATAGACATTTAAAAAAAGGACAGTTACTGTATCGACATTTTAAAATTGTATTTAAAGAAAAAGCCTAAACAAAACAGCAGGGCTCTATTTCAGTATTAACTATAGAAAAAAAGAGAGCAACAGCTGACATCAAATCTTTGCTGAGCCTAAGGATAATCATAAATAAATGACATAGTGAAAATAAATATATTGCAATGCTCAGTACAGCAGCATCCAACCGTCTCTAATCATAAAAACATAATAAAAATAAATGTATTGCAATGCTCAAAACAGCAGCATCCAACAGTCTCTAATCCTTGGATATTACATGTCACTGCATGCATGCACGGAGCACCCGTAGCGTGGAGATCATCATATCATTCTGTCTTGTATTACTTAACAAAAAAACAACAACAAAAACGCGCGAGCCGGCTCCCGTCGTTCACTTAAAAGTGAACGACCCATCACTAGTCGGCATGGCAGAAAAGACACAACGGTGCGGGACCTGCGGCTGCGGGACACACCAATCTGTGTGGGGCCGGGCCGGGCGACAGGTAGTGATGGCGAGATGAAGCCTATGAAGCTTTGAAGCTTTCCAGCCAATTGGTTAGCAAAAGGGTTCATCTCATGAGGCTTCATTTGAACCGATTTGAACACAAACCCCCTGTTGGTCAAAGTGTGTAAAACAGGCAGACATCTCTATGTGTGCTGTATCTCATACCGAGTTCCCAATGAGTAAAGCCTTAAAATAACTCTGAACAACGAACATTAAATCATATTTTCATGTTAACAATGTTGTATTTATTCCAGTTGAATGATTGTGATTGAAAAGCCTAAGGAGGCTGGTAAACATTGCAAAGAGGGATTTGTATTCCTTAATAATATTCGTAAACTTAACCATGTTGTAGCCTGAGAAAGGCTAAACCATATCAAAGACTACATTTATTAACTACATTATCTCATTTAGCTGTAGCTTTTATAAACAAACAAAAATACTTATTGACAAGTCGTTGAACCGGGGACCCTGCGTTCGTGAGTCAACTGCTTTCCGGCTGAGCCACAGCCCACACACTGAACCTACCCGAAAACACTACACGCTATTTATTCCTGTATTTATTCATTTATTCATGTTTTTATTCCTACTTTTATTTATGCTTTTATTTATTTATACTTATGACATGTTCCGACCTCTATATCAGTGAGGGTCTGAGCTCTCTTAATTCCATCGTGTCAGCGGGCCCGGGTACAGGAGGGGTAATATCGTTCTTATTATACATCCATGGGTAATATGAGCGTTGTGGTTCAACCGATCTAAAGCACTTTCTGAAGCAGTCACGTGGTATTGAGGGGCAGTGAGGCTTCGTTGGTCATCGGTGACGTCACTGGCCCAAAACGATACAAGCCTCGATACAAGCTTCACAAAAAGCTTTGTGGATTACTCGACACACGCTCCGAAGCCTCGGCGCAATACGTAACATCACTAGCGACAGGACGCTCATCGACGGCCAGACATCTATCGACGGCTGAAATCGGCTTGGTGTGTCCGGGCCTTAAGCGTCATCACGCCCAACATTAGCCTCCTTTAGCTTAGCGGTGGTGACGTGAAGTCATGTGACCTTGCTGTAGTTCCTTTTGTAGCCCAACATTAGCCTCCTTTAGCTTAGCGGTGGTGACGTGAAGTCATGTGACCTTGCTGTAGTTCCTTTTGTAGCCCAACATTAGCCTCCTTTAGCTTAGCGGTGGTGACGTGAAGTCATGTGACCTTGCTGTAGTTCCTTTATAGCCCAACATTAGCCGCCTTTAGCTTAGAGGTGGTGACGTGAAGTCATGTGACCTTGCTGTAGTTCCTTTATAGCCAAACATTAGCCACCTTTAGCTTAGCGGTGGTGACGTGAAGTCATGTGACCGTGCTGTAGTTCCTTTATAGCCCAA